ATGGGCTCAAGCATACCAATGATCATAGAGATGGTGCAGGACCAGACAACATTTTGTTGTGTTATACTTAAGGTTGCCATGAGTCAGGGCTGACTTGACAGCAACTTACAATAACAACAATAAATTACACAATATAATTGTCTCTAAGTCTCTATAAATGACTCAATGATGGTGACTCTTAGTCTAGCAGAAGGACCCTCATAGAATCAGATCATTATATCAGAGATGATTTAATCCACTTCTCCATTTTATAAATGTTAAAGATGAAGGAAGGTGCAAGAGTAAGTGACCTACTCATGGCTCCAAAGCCATTTAGTGGAAAACAGTGACCAGAATCAACTATTTTATGACCCACCATCTGATGTTCTCCTTTCCACTCCATCTTTCTAAATTTTGGTAGTGCGCACACAGACACACACACACACACACACACACACACAGACACACACACACACACACACACACACACACAAGCACTAACCAAAAACAAAGCAAAACAAAACCAAAAATTCTTTCTCCTATGTCAAGAACTGATTGAGGTTATTTCCAGTGAACAATGTGTAGGACAAAAGGTAAAAAGTATCAGGAGCTCTCACACAGGAAAATTTCTAGTTTTCGTCTACAAGAAATCTTTCATACTCCTTCTATAATATAGAGAATGTTAACAAAATTCTGACATCTTCTGCCCCCACGGTGAGATACTAAGAAACCTGTGAAAATACATATTTCATCACTGGAAAAAGCTGAGGAAAAGTCCTGCTGACAAAGTTCAAATGCCTCTGTGTAGCACAGAACACAAAGGAGGCAGGAGGTTTGTGATGAGAACTCTGTAGCAGGTACTGGGGCTCCTTGCTTGGGCACGTTGGTGTGTTTAGAGGACAAAGGGGTCTGATTTTTTATGCTTTTCCTCAAAACAAGCAACGTAATTTCTGCCACGAACAAACCTCCATATACATTCCCATTCTTGTCTCATTGTGCTGGAATTTTGACTTCTGGCCACTGCCACCATTACTGGTGTTGTTATGTGCCATTGAGTCCTAGTGATCCTATATCACAGAGTAGAACTGCCCCGTAGGGTTTCATAGGTTGTAATCTTTACTGGAGCAGATGGTCAGGTCTTTTCTCCCTGGAGCAGCTGGTGGATTGGAACCACCTACCATTCGGAGAGCAGCTGAGCACTTAACCATTGTGACACCAGAGCTCCTCCCACCATATTACTACCACTGAACACTTTTCACTTTGGTTAATTCCTAAATCCACTAAGCTAACTTTGTAACTTTTATACTTAGGGGTTTGTTTTATCCTAACCTTGTACCTCTAGCTCAGTGCTTCTCACACTTTAATGTGTATATAAATCATCTGGGGTTGAGTTAAAATAGATTCTGATTCAGTAGGTTTTGGTGGGGCCCGAGGGTAAAGCTGCTGGTCTACTGATCACATTTTGAATAGCGAGTCTTAGCTTACATGTCTTAATCTTCTAGCCATCTTCTAGAGTGGTGATTCTCCCACTATGTACAGTGAAGGACTATTCTTACCCAAAAGGTAGACACTTCGTATGATACAAAAAAAAATTAGAAAAATAAAACAAAATGGCAGACATATAAAATACAAGCTCAATTGTTTTGTTATTACCTTCAACAAAGAAATTATTACCTTGTCAAATGTTATAAAATTTTTTACATTTTTACATTTCCGATCTTGCACATTAGTAACAAACAATTCATGGACCCTACTTTAAGAACTGACCTACATGATAATGAATTGTCTGTTTATATTATGGGACAACAGAATTTTAAAATAGAGGATATATGCTGATGACTCCCAAATATATATCTCTAGCCTCAACATCCTTTGAAATACACACACACATACACACACACACACACGCACACGCACATACTTACTCACATACTCTTTGAATGTCTAAAAGGACTCTTAACTTTATCATGTCTAAAAGTTCCAGTTGTCCCCCACCAAATCTGCTCCTTGCATACGTGCATAGTTTCTCCCATTTTAGTAAATGACAACTCACTTTTGCCAAGACCAAAAGCATTGACTTTTTTATTTGTCACTCCAGACATATCCAGCATTTCTCACACATCCATCTGCTCTAAGTATCTCTTGCCTGTTTTATTGCAATAACCTCCCCTATAGTCTATTCTCAATTGAGCAGACAGAATGATCTTTTGAAAATGTATTGCTTTTCAACCTGTACTCCAATGTTCAGTGCAGCATTTTTTACCATAGCCAAAAGGTGGAAATAATCAAAACATCCACCAAAAGATGAATGGATAAACAAAATGTAGTGTGTACATATAATGGAATATTACTCAGCCATAAAGAGAAATTAAGTAAGTCCTAATACATGCTACAACATGAATGAACCTTCAAAACATCATGCTGAGTGAAGTGAGTCGCAAAAGCATAAATACTACATAGTATATGAAATAAGCAAATATATAGAAATCAAGGATTATTAGTTGTTACCAGGGGTGAGAGGAAGGAGAGAAGGGGGAGTTTTGATTAGGAGACATTGAGTTTATGTTAATGGTAGTAGAACAATTTGGAAAAGGATAGTGGTAAAGGTTGCACAACATGAAGAATGTAATCAATGTCACTGAATTGTACATGTAGAAATGGTTGAATTGGTGAAGGTTTTGTGGTACATATTTTCATTACAATTTTTTTAAAAAATAAAATACATTGCCTTTCATGCTTTCAAAACATTTAAAAAAATATTTCACATATTTGAAATCAGGATGAAAATTACAATCAACAGAAAAAAGAAAACTTTGAGCCATAGTTTAACTGGCAATTTTTTTCTCCTGTTGTTAGGTGTATTGAGTCAATTTTAACTAATACTGACTCCATATGACAGAGTAGACTGCCTTATATGGCTTTCTAGGCTGTAATCTTTATGGGAGGAGAATGCCAGCTCTTTCTCCCATGGAGACGCTAGTGAGTACAAACCACCAACCTTCCAGTTAGCAGCCAAGTGCTTAACCATTGTGCCACCAGGGCTCCTTTTTTTTCCTTCTAGTGGTGTATAAAATAATGGTTTCTCTTAAAATTTAAGACAACTTAGAGGCAGGGCCAAGATAGAGGAGTAGTCAGATGCTTCCTTTGGTCCCTCTTGCAAAAAAGACCAAAAAAAAAACAAGTGACTCAATTATGTGTGACAATCTAGGAACCCTGAACATCACAGGCAAAGCTGAGGAATCAGACTGAGTAGCAGGGGGAGGGAGAGACAGTTTATAATAATCCTTGGTTTCTATATATTTGCTTATTTCATATAAGTGAGATCATATAGTATTTATCCTTTTGTGACTGACTTACTTCACTCAGCATGATGTTTTTAAGGTTCATTCATGTTGTAGCATGCATTAGGACTTACCTAATTTCTCTTTATGGCTGAGTAATATTCCATTCTATGTATATACTACATTTTGTTTATCCATTCATCTGCTAAATAGAGAGGAGTTGCCAGACCTGACCAGGTGGGAGCCAGCACCCTTCAGGCCAGATCAGCTGGTGTGCACGGTGAGGCAAGCAGTGGCACTCGGGAGGCATTTTCCACTTGGGAGAGACCGAATGGCAGAAAGTCTACTCTGGCCTCCAGAACCAGTGAAAAGTAGTGTTCAGCTGGCAAAAGATGAGTACATGCATCTGACCTACGCACGCATGAAAAACACCACCTTTGGGAAAAACCTCTCTCCCATTTACCTACCCCCTCCCCACTCTGCACAGGATCCTGGGCCAGCTTCAGCAATTGCCAAGTCCCCTGGGCCAGAAGTAGGACCTGTCACACACCTGAGCCATTCTCCCAGCCTTGGAGAGGTAAAAAATTAACAAACAGGAAAAAATAATCTGCCAGCTCCCCTAAGCCAGGAACTCAGGGTAGGCACAGCACCTTTGCCTAGGCACAGGCATAAGTGGTCCATGGACTTTGAATGCCTTTCACCCTTGCATAGACCTGTGTGAGCCCACTTCAACAGCATAGGCCCTCATTACCACAGTACAACAGGGTATATACCTGAAACCTGACTTCAACTGTATCAGCTATATGGTGAAGTAGGATGTTTGTGACATTTGACACTGCTTTACCCATTAAGTAGGGTCCTCACCTACCCATGTTGGGGGCCTGAAGACTGGTGGCTCCACCCATGCCACCAAGCCACCTGTGACAGGAGTCCAAGAATAAGTGGCGCCTCCCTGTCCTTACAGCCAACAGCATTGGGTGCCCATAGTCTGGCTGAAAAACCCACCCACCTATGCATTCTAGGAAACAGACATGCTTTCCTCCCAGACACTCAAGGGAAGCCATAAGCCCCCTACCTTGCTCAGCATGTGACCTCCTACTGCAGCCAGATATCTGTCCCTACACTAGTCACCCCTGCCCATCTAGGATTGTAGGTGAGAGCCTGTACCACACTCTTGGTGACAACTATCTGGACACCTGAGCTGAATACATACAAGAAAAGTGAATGGACTCCTGGGCTCACATACCTAGTAACAGATCTAACCACCTGGTGACAGGACGTTAGAGCTTCATAGGTACTATTAATCAAACTAGCTCACATGAGCAGCCTATTTGGGCATATGAAAACAAAACAAGAAGCTAGGACACAGTCAGCAAACATAAAAGAAATAAATATAATAATTTATTGATGGCTCAGAGAAAACATTCAATATCAAATCATATAAAGAGGCAGACGATGATGGCTTCCGCAAGCTCCCAAAACAAAGAATCAAGATATTTGCCAGAGGAAGAGAACTTCTTGGAATTATCAGAAGTAGAATACAAAAGATTAGTAAACAGAACTCTTCAAGAGATCAGGAAGGAGTTCATGCAAAATGCAGAACAAGCCAAGGAACACACAGACAAAGCAATGAAGGAACTTAAGAGGATTAGAGAAGAGCATAATGACAAATTTAACAGGCTGCAAGAATCCATAGAGAGACAGCAAACAAAAATCCAAAGGATTAACAATAAAATTTCACTTCATCCACCGATAGACCTTGAACAATTTGCTGTTGTTATTTTGGCTTGCACTAGGATGCAAAAAACTCCCTGCACTTTCTGTCTGTCTTTGTGGCAGCCCAGATTGAATGAGCGAATATATCTGCAGCCTAGAAAAAGTCAGTTCTTTTCACATTGAAAAAGCATTAATACAATCTTCTTTGTTTTTACAGTAATAGATTTGGTAATTATTTGGTTTTATCATCCTAACTGGCTGCTGCTGTTCATCCACACAACACCAGGACTTAGACAAATGGCACTGATGTCATCTTGAGCTCTTCATTTATTTTGATCTCAATTTATTTGGAGCAGAGGCATTTTTTTTTCTAAAGGAAAAAATGACATGTCTTGTAGGTTGTCTAAAAATAAAATGCATTTAAACTAAATAAAATAAAATAAAATTTCAGAATTAGACAACTCAATAGAAAGTCATAGGAGCAGAATTGAGCCAGTGGAAGTTAGAATTAGTGAGATTGAAGACAAAGCGCTTGACACCAACTTACGTGAGGAAAAATCAGATAAAAAGATTTTAAAAAATGAAGAAAACCTAAGAATTCTGTGGGACTTTATCAAGAGGAATAACCTACAAGTGATTGGAGTACCAGAATGGGGGGAGATAACAGAAAATAGAGAGAGAATTGTTGAAGATTTATTGGAAGAAAACTTATCTGATATTGTGAAAGACGATAAAATATCTATCCAAGATGCTCACTGAACCTTACATAAGGTAGATCCCAAAAGACAGTCACCAGGGTATATTATAACCAAATTTGCCAAAACCAAAGATAAAGAGAGAATTTTAAGAGTGGCTAAGGATAAACAAAAAGTCATCTACAAAGGAGAATCAATAAGACTAAGCTCAGATTACTCAGCAAAAACCATGCAGGCAAGAAGGCAATGGGATGACATATATAAAGCCTTGAAGGAAAAAAATTGCCAGCCAAAAATTACATAGCCAGCAAAACTGTCTCTCAAATAGGATGGCAAAATGAGGGCATTTCCAGATAAACAGAAGTTTAAGGAATTCGCAAAAACCAAACCAAAATTACAAGTTGACAACCTTAAAACAAAAAAGAGGGACTAAAAAATTTAGTCATAGATCTTTCATATGGAGAGGAAGTCAAGGCAATACAAAGAAATAAAAGAGTGGTTTAAACTTAAAAAAAAAAAAGGTGTAAATAGTAAGGTAACCGCTAAAGAAACTAACAATCCTACACATCAAAATAGAAAAACATAAAGACTCAGCAAATACAAAATCAACAACATTGTAAAAGAAGAAAAAGAAAAATGACTCAGCACAGAAAATTAAGTGGAACAAAGAAACTGTCAACAACACACACAAAAAAAGATAACAAAATGACAGCACTAAACTCATACCCATCAATAATTAAGCTGAATGTAAACGGACTAAATGCACCAATAAAGAGACGGTGACAGAAGGGATTAAGAAAACATGATCTGTCTATACGCTGCCTACAAGAGACACACCTTAGACTTAAAGACACAAAGAAACTAAAACTCAAAGATGGGACAAAAATATATCAAGCAAACAACAATCAAATAAGAGCAGGAGTGGCAATATTAATCTCTGACAAAATAGACTTTCAAGTAAAATCCACCACAAAGGATAAGGAAGGACACTATATAATGATTAAAG